AAATATCACTTTTTACCAAAAATGATAAAAATATTCATCAAAATTAGAGAATTAAAGATATCATTACAAAATGAACAATTCTGAGAGAGGTCCACATGTAGTACCTATATATGTAATATCAAAGCAATTGCACTTGCGGTTTTTAACAAGAAGTCGAAAATATCACTTTTTACCAAAAATGACAAAAATATTCACCAAAATTAGAGAATTAAAGATATCATTACAAAATGAACAAATCTGAGAGAGGTCCACATGTAGTACCTATATATGTAATATCAAAGCAATTGCACTTGCGGTTTTTAACAAGAAGTCGAAAATATCACTTTTTACCAAAAATGACAAAAATATTCACCAAAATTAGAGAATTGAAGATATCAACATGAAATGAACAAACCTAAGAGAGGTCTACCCAAGGTACATATACACCAAGTATCAAAGCATTCAGGCTTGTAGTTTTCAAGAAGAAGTCGAAAAAGTAAAACATTGACACGGACGACGACGGACGACGACGACGGACAATCACTCATATGATAAGCTCCGCTCGACAAAGTCGACAGCGGAGCTAATAAAAGTTTGTTGAAATGCAAGAATTCATATCAATTGAAGTATTCAGTCATATTAATCTTCAATTTATCCAAACTTCCTAAAGGTCAACAGAATTTCTACGGTAATATTTGTTCTTTTTATTTTAGCATACCATTTACTGTAAATTACTTTATTTTCGCTTGGAATTAATTTTTCCTATTTTCGCTGAAGGAATGAATCAGTGAAAATAAAATCCAGCCAATATACCTTTTTTTTCTATATTTTACATTCAACTCATCAAAAATCAATGAAAATAAATTCCATGCAAAACACCCAAAAGGTCTTTTCAGCGAAAATTAATTCCAGCTATAAATAAAGTATTTTACAGTAAGTGAATCCATATGTTCAATTCATTTTATAATAAAGCCCAAATCACTAAATGAGTACATCGGTAAGTAGTTTCTATAAAAAAATCTGCATATTCAGACTGGTGATGGAAACAATCATAACAACAGAAAACTATGAACATATGATTACTAAGTACATGTACATGTATATGCGTATTGTAGTGCAATATTAAAGGGTGGTGGTCACAATGAAGTTGTGTTTGAAACAATAAATTTTAAAATACATTGCATAACATAAATTTGATTAGTGAAATATGCGAAATAATTTTATATATAAAATGTCAAATATAATAATCAAAGCCCAATGTAGATGAAGCCTTATAAACCGGTAGTTCAATTGTGAATCTAAAAAACAGACCCCTTGTAACTGTACAATGATTTTTTTTATTCCTAAAAGTAGTAATGCATATGTGTTTGGGTGGGAGTATATATTTTCAGACTAAAACTGATAAAAAGAAAATTCTTTTTAACTTGGAATTGACTCCTGCTTATAGTTATTTCACCACAATTACATATACATATCACCATGGAACCTGAAATGTGATTTTTAGAGCGCAATCAAATACAGTTCAAGTCAGAGACAGGAGATGCTCCCACACAGCTTTACTGTATTTTCACTTTTATAAAAACAAATCTACATAGAGACACATTTTAAAGTACACCAAACGCACAGATTTGTTTATGCTACCCATTTTTCACGTCATTTATGTATTAAGCACATCCGCTTCTCACATAGCAAATATAGTTCTGTATAGGGATTAATTATTTGCTAGTTATTTTCACTTATTTTGCCGATAGTTACAACAATATGATAAAATTAAAACCTAGTGAATATTCAAATTAAACAACAAAATACAATACAGCTTCCTTCATGAATCAGTGAATTTAAAACCTAATGAATCCATGAATTAAATCCACTAAAATTTATTCAATATCAGTGTATCTACAGTCTACTGATATGGCTAGATCAATCCAGAAAACATGTAGACGTGCAGAATAAATCTATACACCAATATACCAATGTAAGAAATTCATTCCTCTGGTAGATAGAACACCGAATAACGGGAAAAATTTAAAGTTTCAAATGAAGCAAACAAGTATCCCCTATTGTTTGGAATCAATTCATGATAACTACTCAATACATGCCTTAATTTCCAAAGCCAAAGCTCAAGTGAGTACAGGTAATCACAAAACGTGAAATGAATCCGACGTCAATTAACTTTACAACAAGTCATGAATATTTAAAGGCGTCGTGTCATACATTCCATGAACAAAATTTCTGTTTATAAATTGAACGACTTTTCTACAAACAACCATGGTTTACTAAGAATTCAATATGGCACGAGTCTCAGTTTCAATTCGTATGAGAAAGCGGCAGTGTAAACGCTGAAGGGCATTGCAAAAAAAATCGTGTAATTTACCTACTAGTGCATCGTACTGTCTCGTTTCTTGAGAAGCTCCGATCTGCACAAAACAACAAAGTTGTTTTTTCCCCATGTGTGAGCTCAGTGGTAATGTAACAATCTTGTTCATATGGGAAATATATCTGGCGTCACATACGACACAATGACGCCTTCATTTAAAGACAATTAATGATGTTTTATATTAGGACATAATCATTATGCATCCTCAGTAATCTTTTAATCATATTTTTCATTTTCACATTCATAAAAAACAGTCTGAACACAAGACACTTTATAAATTTCTGTACCAAGTCTTCAGACTTGAGTAATTACAGCAGTCAATGCAAAATATTCACTTTGAGTTATTATTTGACGTTTATTATAAAATACTTTACTTTCGCTCGGAATTAATTTTCGCTATTTTCACTGAAGGAATGATTCAGTGAAAATAAAATCCAGTGAATATAGCTTTTTTCCTATATTTTACATTTAACTCCCATACAAAACACCCAAAATGTCTTTTCAGTGAAAATTAATTCCAGCTAAAATAAAGTATTCTACAGTAACTACAAACATGCAAATTAGGTTCAGCAAGGGAAAATGTGACAATGGACATGTTGTGTTTCGTAGCATCTATTTTGCCATCTTGAAAAAAAGATTTGTATAATATCACATTGTGATTACAACACTGTTAATTAGACTCTAAAGTGACTGTAATAATTTACTCAGCGTATACATGAATATCTTTTTAATTAAAGTATGATCACAACCAGATCATTTATCAATTCTTAATTACTTTTCACACGAAAATTTCAGCTAAATTTTGTTTCCATTTTTAGAGGTAGTGCTAGCATTTTTGAGTGTGTCCTGCCATAAAAGAATTGTATAATTAGTCATATTGTAGTAATTTTATGTACCCCCCCCCCCCCAACAAAAAAACATACATAGAATTTGGGTTTAATAGTACAAATCCTGCTAAATTGTAATGTAAAATTTGGAAAACAAGAATATTTCCAAACTCTCATTGATTTTGATTGAAATAGATTATGAGAAGATAATATAAAAAAATATGGAACAGATTTAATATGTGAAGTTATATATATCATTGATTGTAGTCTGGAATTGTTATGATTCATTAGTTTCTTACACAGACAACAAATTCTAACAAACAGTAAAACATAGTATTAAAAAACTAAAAATGACTTGTTATTATTTACCTACCATTTTTATGTTATTTTAAAATTAAACTTTCCAATACACTGGATAAAATAAACTTACACAAAAGCTGTTATTTTAAGAATGTATTGCATATAAGGATGACAAATGATTAATGAATACTGTAAAATACTTTATTTTAGCTGGAATTAATTTTCTTTAAAAAAAAGTTTTTTTGGTGTTTTGTATGGAATTTATTTTCCATACAAAAGTTTCAACATTTGGCAAGTTGTATGTAAAATATATCGCTGGATTTTATTTTCACTGAATCATTCCTTCAGCGAAAATAGCGAAAATTAATTCCAAGCGAAAATAAAGTATTTAACAGTAAATTAATCTACATTTAAAAACCACACAAGTTTCGATAAGATTTACCATAAAATCACAATCACACCCTACAATCTCTTGTTGACGTATTTTACCCTATAGATTATTATACCACCATCACTGCAATGGAACAAGCGAGTGTGTGGACAGACTGCAACCAATTATATTGACTCGCTGTATTGAAAACAATTAAAGGCCTTAATATAGTCCCAGATGAATTGAATGCGACATTATAATAAATATGCTAAATACAAAATGAGACATCCAGAAAACAAATGATACAGGGGTGATACAGCCATACTTCAAACATCTGTTGTATTATATTTGTATACATGTATCACCAAAATCAAAAGTACACATTTCAATATGGGGTCAAATGGCATATTTTGGTTTGAAAACACAATCATTTAGTAATATGAGTTCCATGCAACGTAAACTCCCATAATTAGTTCCATGCTGGATCAATTATTTTGATGAGGACTAGATGTCCACAAGTAACAGCAAAATTACATCAACAAAAACATACATTTTATATTATAACAATAGAGAACTAAAATAATTTGCTATTGAATCTCATCATACCTGTATTTTTACAAGGCAAAAACATTTTTAATAATACACTGGAATAATTAAAATTGTGGTGAGAATTTCTGACTACTATAAAAGGCGTCAAGTGTTTATTTTCGGTGAATCATCAAGGTTGTTTATGGCCATTATGAATTTCAACCCCTGCTTCTGTCATTATAAAAGTATTTCCATATTTTTGTCCATAACCAGATTTTTTAAAACCACAAGTTTTAAAAATGGCCGCCATCTGATGATTTCACTAAATCTAAAAATTAAATGTTAGTGATAACCAAACTGTTGAAATAAACATCTTTTTATCCGGCTCAAATTTCAATATATCCTAATTATGATTATTCAACTTATTAATTTCTATATTACCTCAAGATGATACCATATTTTCTTTATTAAAAGCACATTTATAGTAATTAATTGCATTTATTGCAAGGTGGATTATTAAACCATAGACAGTCCTGTTAGTAACACTGGTGACAAACTTGGTAAACAATAAACAAATCTCAGCTGAAAAAACTCAGCGTGGCCGTAATCTAGTTACTTCTAGGAATGAAATCTGAGTGTGTATTTAATTAGAGTATACTTAAGAAACGTATCAACATTTCACAGCAAATATGTAGTTGAACCCACAACACCCTAGTAAAGTAGTAAGTTAGGTAAAGTAGTGTTCCCCATATAACAAATATGATTACAGACGATCTGCCTTTTTTTTTATCTGTATATCCCCCACCCCACCACAGTATTTAAAGATGAAATTGTTTAAAAATTCAAAGAAAAGTTTACCAGGGTAAAGAAAACTTTGGTAAAATGATTATTGTAATTGAAAACAAATACATGATATACGAATCTCACATGACCTTCAACCAGAGATCAAAATACCATACATAGCATTAACTTAGAGGGGGTGTGTCAAAAAGCACATGACTTGTCTCCACATTAAATCAACATGTGTAATTGTCCAAGCAACTTGTTACCAGTGACATATTTAAATAAAGATAAACAAATACATCGTTTTAAATAGAAGCACCGCTTCATAAAGATAAGTGGTTCTTTTTGTTTATTTCCGGCCGGCGGTGGCGAGTACGTCGTTAGGGTTGAAAATATGATATGTGTGTAGAATAAAAACAAAGTATATCAATATCATATGATTGTTGGTATAATTTTCTAGTTAACTTTTATCTAAGGATAGGGGTGTCCTCCACAACACTGAAATCTATAATACATTTCGCATATAACATGGGTAAGCACTACACAAACAAGCTGTTGCTGTAATCTTAACAGAAAACAAACTGTGGCGACCGGAGTCGCAAGCTTTTACGTACACGTCGGGTGCGAAAATACGCATGGTCGTTGAACTTTCTAGCGAGAGCTTACCTCGGACAAGGTCTGTTTTGGCAAACTTGACTTCATCAACAGCCTCACAAACATATCACGGTCCACCTTGCTTTCTTGAGTGGGACACACTATATTGTAAACCTCCCGATAATACGGAGGCACGGAACCTGTAAAAAGCACGATGAATGTAACAATATTATACTTTTCGTAGTACGGCACGACATGCGTTAACTACGAATACAAAAGTGATAATTCCGCACGAAACAGTCGGCTGGTTACACCTACCAAATGCTAAATCGGCAGCCATTTTGTGGAACTGTTCACGTGATATTCATCATCGTCCTGGTGACCTTTAACCCAGTTTCATTGTTCAAACAAGATTCATAATTACAAGTTTATAAAAAAAGAATTAAAATAATACATTTTATTATATACACAATGAAAATGTTGCTAATGATTTCCATTAAAACTTGACAATGCCAGCTGAAACATTATACGTTGAATATTTCAAGATGGGATGACGTTACAGATTATCCTGATTTACGTAGTCGGCGTCCGTTGACACCTCCGTGCGAATATAGCCGGTGAATGGATATATATAAGTTAGTAAGTAAGTTATATATATATCAATTTATCAACCAGGTTTATTCCACCATTCAATTAAAAAAACAATAATAACTATAGTTTAAGAATAGCCTGATGTGAACGACGTATGTAGTTCATTGTAGTACGTGGTTCGAAAATTATAAATGTTATGGAAAATTAAAAAAATTATTATTTACATAATAGAGTAAACAACTAAGACAAAACACATAATTATACTAAGTTATTCAATAAGTAATGTTTTAATGTGTGTCTGATTGTAAAAGATGTTATTAAGGTAGAGCAGTTTTGTTTTGTTCGGTGTTTTGTTGCTGATAGGCAAAGATAGACTGGGTTTAGAGTAAGGTTCATTCTACGAGTATTCGTGTTTGGTAGCTGTGGGGTAAAACATCTATTTTTTAGATCGAAAACGAAGAAGCAACTTGTGAAATTGTATAAGGCATGGAGTTATTCGACATACAATATTTGTTCTGCAAAAGTAGGATTATGTTTGTAGGTATTCCACCATATTGCTATACACTAATATTTAGGGTGGATAGGATGGACCGGGAACAAAAATTGGGAATAATAATGCCAATTTTGAAGACAATTTTACTCAATATGAGATTTCCATGTGACATCATATTGTAATCGATTGTCACTCCTAGATGAGTGATTGAATCTGTTTTTAATTTGTGACGTGGAGGTTTCCATAGATTTACACCAAGTTGTATGAGTTATTTTGAATAGTTCTTACCAGAGGTACCTCTGTTCTTACTTAGAACAACCAAATATGTACTACTATACAAGTTGTAATTTGCTGGTTTCAACAAGTTTTTTTCGGCAAATACGTCGTTGTTTGGTGCTCTTTTCTGTGCCATAGACTACTAACAAACTGCCATAGTTCAATGATTCGAATAATATTTCTGCATAGACGTAAATCATCCAGCCACTAACATGTGAGTAAATTTAAAAGGGGTTCTTTGTTAGTTGTTACAAATTATTAATATTATTAGCATTATTAATAAGTTGATATCAGCAAAACCACATGGAAGAAATTAGAATTCATATAAATTACTCGATTGAAATAAATACGTCGGCGATAGAGGGCGCTACACGCCGGCGTTTTGTGTTAACATATTTGTCACACTAGAAATTTGAAATCTACATACTAAGCTCCTATACTTATAATGGTAATGATATTATCATTACAACATAAAAGCCGCTATGACATTGAACTTTTGTCATCAATGTATGCTTCATGGGCGTTTCTGAATGAGTTGTCATATTTCTAATAAATGTGTATATCGAAATTTTAACATAAGTTGCATAATTATCAATTTATAGATAAGATAAGATATGCGGTATTGATTGTAAACATTCCTGGACCAATCTTTAAAAAATGTAAAATACGAACTTGGCAAAATCGCCGTAACACTCTTATCAAAACAACACACGTCACATCAAAAGTACGTAATTGGGGGCTTATATCTGCTTATAATTGTATGCATTTCATCTAGAATGAATTATTCCATTTCACACATTTTCTGTAGTAATCTGAGTGATTTGGTATATTTTAATATCGGCCTTTCTCAATAGGCAAGAAATTTGTAGAAATTCTTATTTTTGTTAAAGCATTTTATAATTTCTTAGTTTTCCGGTTGAGACATTTTTAAAAGCAATCATTTTTAGCTACGGTTTTATAGCTTATCCCCTCACATTTATTATATTTATTTAAGTAATTCTGCCAGTAGCTAACATATAAAGCCCTCAATCTAAAAATTACTTTTGGGTATATTTTTTGTACATTTTTTGTTCAAGCTTAAGCTTTTTTTAACAATTCCCTGACCAGTTTCAAGTTATTTATCATGACTTATTTCACTGTTAAAAGCTGCATGAACTTTCTTTTTCCATATCAAGAATGCGTGCCCAAAAATGTAAAATATTTTGTATAACATTTAAATGTTAATTATAACTTTAATGAGTAAAAGTACTCGAGATTTCCAAATTTCAGCTTTTATTTCAAGTATCTGTAATGGTCTACAGTTTGTTAATATTTTTTCTATAAACAAAAAAATCTTGTTTTAACCAAATTTTATGATAAATTCCATTTCAAACCAACATCTTTGAAGAACATGCTACATGCCTTTTTAGAACAAAAGAATGTTACAATATTATCTGCATATACCAATAAATGAACTGGAATCAGTGATTCATGGACCCAAAGCAATTCTCGGGTTTTCAAGATGTAAAACAGACGATAGGTTTTCACTCCCCAAGATTAGAAGATAATACTTGAGTTTGTGCATGTTGATCGGCCTGCAAGGTGACGAATACACAACGCATTACGCAATACGCAAGAAATTACCGAAACATTGAACCACCCGAATATTATCCCCGCACCACTCATTGCTTTATAATACGGCAGCTGCAGGTAGTAAAAACGAAGCACTCAAGTTTACTAATTTTCGTCGTTGTTGGCGTAATGTCCATTAACCATACTTTTCGAGTCACAATATTTGAACCAATTTTTTTGATTTATAGTCTGTTATTAAGTATGAATATTAGAAGTTATTTTTGGTGTTATTTTTACCCATAAGACCGAGATGTGTGGATAGCAAGCTGTTGATGGTTGCCGTCTCCAAATAGCATAGAATCCCAGACGGAAAATAGACATATCGGTTCCTCTATATTTTCGACCGAGAAGAGATCCTGATTTCTACCATGGAACTATAAACCCCTTTTATAGTTCCATGTTTCTACGAATCTAGACAAAATTTCGTACACACAAACATATATACGCATGAAACAAATTATATATATTTATATTACCAATTATTACAGTGGAAACAATAGTTAAAATTATTTGTAGAATTTATACATATACATATACATGAAGTGTATTCATAAAAAAATAACTTGTATCGTATTGCTCTTCGTACCGTGACGAAATGCCACATCGCGAATCTGGGGTCAAACGGGCAAGTTGCCGCGTTTTCACGCGAGATCCGAGCATGAGACTATGTAAATCACATACCTTGTGTTTGGGAACTCCAACAGCAACTAAATATGGAGAGTGAGTACTGTGTGTGATCAGCGGTAACTACCCGGGAATTTGCAATACTTGACGCTGTACTCGGCTGTTTTACATCTGGAATCGACACCTAAATCACAGATTACGGCTGATTGTCGTGGGATCCGCGGCGTAGGGCTCGTACCTGGTTTATTTCGCCGATCCGTGTAACAGGGGAGGTTGTAAACATGCCACAGATAGAGGTCAGTTTCTTTTTCGACAGTCATCTCTCATCTTTGACGACAAATTCATGTTCAATTATAAATTCTGCTATTTCCGGGGAATTAATATTGTATACATCAATAACACCCGGGATCTAATGTCAGTGGAGGCGTTAATTTACTTCTGTAAAGGGTGTTTGTCAATATTTATTAGTTTCGTTTTCACCCCTCCCAAACAACTGACAGCTCCTGATGTATTGTGTCAAATTAAGAATACCTGAAACTTTTACAACCATTATTGACAGAAAGAGGCTAATTCTGACCGCTGAATATCCTGTTCCCTCTCTCACCGTTTTCTGGATGCGTAAACGTACTATGCAGTGTGTAGATTTAATAGGCGTTTTTCTGGGCATGATTCTGGATATTGGACTTGGCAATCACTTATATTACTGAGTTATTGATTATAGACAAAAAAATTACAAAGAATAAATAGATAATAAAAACAATATATACCTGTGTTCCCTGAACAAATATAATCAATATAATATAATCATACATGCACAAAATTTTGACGAGAATATTATTATCACTAAGATGTTTTTAATAGTTGTTCGCTTCATGATACCATGGACGTAGGATAATACATATACCTAGATGTCTTGTAGTGAGGAATACATTTATGAATACATGTACAGGTAAAATAATTTTCTGGATTGTTTGGACCTCAGATTTGGTGAATTGTGTTCCATTTTTGATTTTCAAATCATATTTATACTTTGAAACTAGTAATTAACCTAGCTGGAATATTATTTTTGAGTTTATAAGTTATACCTCGGTAGTTAATTATACAAATGTAACTATAATATATGCAGTGTTGTCAATTATTAGTCTGTCAGCAAAGCGAAACATACTGTACTGTAAAATACTTAATTTTCACTTGGAATTAATTTTCGCTATTTTCACTGAAGGAAAGATTCAGTGAAAAGAAAATCCAATAAATATGCATTTTTTTCCTATATTTTACATTCAACTTGTCAAAAATCAGTGAAAATAAATTCCATAGAAAACACTCAAAAAGTCTTTTCAGCGAAATTTAATTCCAGCTGAAATAAAGTATTCTACAGTATTTCCACTGTCAAAGCAACACAGTCATGAGGCTGTATTTCACATACTGACTAATTTTCACTGGGTTTAAATTTTGCTGATTTAGCATTTCAGGGATATTCAGTGGGTTTTAAATTCATGGTTTTATCATTTGAATAATGTGTTCTATGCTAAATTTTACATATTCACTGGGTTTTAATTTAGCGCAATTTCCAGTCAGCGAAGTAAGCAAAATTAAAACCCAGTGAATAATTAACCTTTTTACAGTAGTTGTTTTTTATATGTATCACATGGGACCATAGACCTTAGAAAAGGTCTATGATGGGACCGAGGCTGTGAAAATAGTAGAATATAGTCGTCCATAAAACCCTGTAGAATGTGTTTATAAGGGGTTCAGGTGCATTTGAATGTGTTAGGAATGTCTTTCATATTTGTAAAAAGTGCATTAATTTACATCACATTTGATCATTTCTTACATCAGACATAGCAACTGTGTAGCCTGCTGTGAATGGAATTACTTCACTGAACACGAATTGTCACACATACATTAATCTTGTAAAATATTTTTCGCAACATTTCTGGTTGTTGTATCTCACTAAATCATGAGTTCAAGCATGTATAATAAAGATGTATAATAATAAAGTTATCACTCGAGTAGTACTTGATTTCACGTCTGTTGATATGATCACCACACTGACTGACTGTCGCTTTCATTCTTACTTTAAGGTACTGTAAATTTATTAATTATTCACTGACTGGGTTTTAATTTTGTTATTTTCGCTGATAAGTAAATTCTGCTAAATTAAATCTACGTGAATATGTAAAAAAATCAATAGAACTCATTGTTTCCTTGACAAATTCATAAAATTAAAAAAACAGTGAATATGCTCAAAACATCAAAATAGTGAAATTTAATGTCAATGAAAATAAATGGTTTTACAGTATTCTCATAATATTGTGACTGACAGTCCAGAACATATTGTGTCTTTAGTGCATATAATTAGGTTAATGTCTGGTAAGACTTAGGCCAGCGAGAGCCCTGTGTAAAGAGAATTCCCACTGTCGTAGTCCCGTTGTCTTCAAATTTTCTCCCGACAATTCCGAAGTGGTCGCCGTTAGCTCAGCGGGAGTCCCCGACAACTTCAGAGTATGTATATTAAAAGAGAACGCGTTGGGCTCACGACAGCACGCTAATTAGCATATACAGCGAGACAAAAAATATGGAAAGAAGATGCGTAATGTAAAGTGGCGCTTATAAATTAAGTTTGAAATTACATCCATCATCCTAAATAATTGTTACTGGGACATTGTATGAATGACGTGTATACAGTTTCCATTGCCATGGCAACATCATTTAGTGTGTTATGGATGAGACATTTAATATAGGCTATTCAACACAAAACCATACGTTATACTGATAGTATCATATTTCATTTCCAGTATATAATATCCTAATTAGTTTTGATTAAAATATTGAAATTGAAAATAATATACCATATTTAAAGGCACATGGAATGTTTGTTTTAGTAGGTATACCATAATCACACTGTACTTCTAACAGACAATTATGGTACATTCTGCCACAGTCCCTACATGTATTTTTATGATAGAGAGACTTTGATTCTGCATAAAGCGTTACAGTTCTCACACTGCATTGTGTTGGATATGAGACCCATTGTAATGTATACAGTGTACATACAATGTGTTTAAAATACAGTATTTGTTGATACAACATTTGAACATGTTTTACAAGACTCTTTAAATCACCAAGCACTTATATTAGAAGATGTTCTAGTAGAGAATGGAGATAAAGTTATAATTGTTTTATCACTGCAGCACCTTTTTCACAACTTTGATGTATTACTTTCAGGAATTGGACCCATTATCGTTATCTGACTCTGAAGAAGAAGAAGAGTACGTCCCACGGAAATCTAGAAAAAAGACAGGAAAGAGGAAAACAGGTAAATAGTGTTTAACTTGACTGAGAATGATTGTAACAATTTATATTGAGAGAAAATGAATCGTTTAGCTTCTGCAATGTGACAACACTTGAATCAATTACCTTTCTGGTGCTGGACAGTGCTGTGGTGGAGATCAGAACAATTGGGAAACCAATCAGGGGTGATGCTAACCCTGTTTTGAAGTCACAACACATACATGTACCTATTGGGTGTCATTGAAGCGATGGGTATTGTCTGTTAACACACCTTACTCAGTGTTGCCCATATACCGATTGTGTTATACAGTGACCTCACTGGAGTTAGCTCGTTATAAAGTGTTTTGTTGTTGTTCGTTTGGATAAAAAACTTACTGGTACTTCTGCTTTCTCACCAAAAAAACAGGATCACAAGGCATTCCTTCTGGTCTTCAATATGTGCTATGACTATGGCTGCAACATCTTTTTTTGTACAATAATTCGCTTTAATTTTGCAAATGAAATTTTTTTTAGGAAAATCAAAAAATTATAGCAGTGAACAATTCACTGGGGTCATTAAGACAGAAATTTGTTCCTGTGAATTCTTTAAAAACATGAAATTGCGGAAAATTGAAACCTTTTCACCACCAGAGTTTCTTGCCCAAAATAATTTGTGTCAATTTTTAGTTTTTCCTTTAAAAATTTGGCTATTTTCGTTCAAATCTTCTGAAGAAATATGCAGACTATAAACAGGACTATTTTGTGATGAAAAGAAGGTACTAGTGGTGAAAAGGTTAATGTGCCAACATTGACAATACATCACGCATAAATTGTTGTCTATTCTTTTCTTGTTTCAGCTTCACCTTATGGACAATCTAAAGGTATTTCTACCAAGGGTAGGAAAGTGGTAGACACCCGCAATAAAACTGCAAGGGATCTCTGGATTGAAGGCATGCGATCAGGAACAGGGTGTAAGTATAACTTTTCATTTTCTTTTAAACTTATGATTGTTTTGAATTACGATGATGAATTCATTTTCCAAAGCAACATTAATTTGAAAGTTTGTTGTTGTAATAAATAAACATCATTAAAGTCTGAATGTTTTTATTTACCTGTCTAGATTTTTCAAGTCGTAAGGTTTTACTTCGTACTGGTCAGTAATTGCATGTAGTGTGCTGCATACTTGTGGTGTTTTTATTTTACCTATTGTGCTCGACTTCATTTATTTACAATGTTTGCATGCAGATGAAAAGAGGGTTACTGATGCATGATGCTGCCTCCCCAAAGCCAAAACAAAGATTGTTTACTGTATTTCCTCTATTAGTAGTGTCATTTTAATTCTGGAGTCCAATTTTATTGTTTTCATAGCCGTTTAATTAATTTTAGCAACCACATATTTTCATAATGTCTGTAAAATTCTCTGGCATTTCCAATAATTTACCAAATTTGTAAAAAAAATGGTCTCTTGTGGTTTTCAGAACTTCTGTCCATGAATGTTATTTTTTTACATGTATTTCATTTGATGTTTCCATAGTAACATACATGTATTTATTTATTTATTTATTGCATCCCTTTTGTAACAGGGGCTCACTATGTAAACTAGGAGCTGCACCAAATAAAAAAAATACATTTCACTCAAAGACTTGTGGATAAAAAAAACTTTTGATAGACAAAAAGAAATTAAGTTACATGAACTAAGATAACAAAATATAACAACAACAAAAGACATCTAAAAGTAGCAACAACAACAAAAAATAAGAAAACTAAAATATAAGAAGTACACTGGAAAAATATTAAATATTATCTGTATACCTCTTTCTACTGTCCATGGCATCAACTAAGAATTTTTTTGTAAAAGTATCAATTTCGTCATGTATCATGTATCTGAAATCAATATGGTTGAATTGCTATTCTGATGTCATTGTTGAATAACTGCAATTCAAACAACAATTTAAACTTGCATGTAATAATACTATTTGTGGAGTTCTAAGAAAGGAAATATGATATTGATCTACTGTAGAATACTTTATTTTCGCTTGGAATTTATTTCCGCTATTTTCGCTGAAAGGTTGATTCCGTGAAAATAAAATCCAGCGAATATACTTTTTTCCCTATATTTCACATTCAACTCGTCAAAAATCAGTGAAAATAAATTCCATACAAAACACCCAAAATGCCTTTTCAGCGAAAATTAATTCCAGCTAAAATAAAGTATTTCACAGTATTAGAAACACATGCACATATGTCCACAGACATTGTGTCGCATCATGTTTGATATGAGTCCCATGTGACGCTTATTAAAAACATTGCTTATTTACATGAAATACAGCCCCATGACTGCTGACTAACTAATGATTGACAACAATTATTATATTAAGGTCTGCAAAAGTTTGAATTTCAGTTTCTTCAAAGCTTTACTCTTACGATGTTAATATGGAAAATGATGTTTATCCTGTATATGTTGTCATACTGTACTAACAATTTGGCTCATCTCAATCATTCCTAATCTGTTGTAAATTCTTGTGTTTGTCATTTTACTATAAATTTTGTTCAAAATCTGTCAAATATTTTGTTCAATTGTTGTAGACCACTATGAAAGCACTGCATGATTATTCACATTTGACATAATTTGTGACTTATTTTAAGACTTGAATTAGAAGAAGGGTTACATCAAAATATTCACATATTAGTCACATGATTGTCTCTTTGAGGGAAAATTCTTCATATAATATCATAAATGATTATAAGCCAGTAAAAAAAATTAACAATTTTTGGTCATAAAATTTTACTTTTATTCAGACTTTACAACTGTTAACTGATACATGCAATGACTAGCATCATGAATATTTTCCTTGGCCAACTATAAATAATAACATATTTTGATCAGACTATTTAGGAACTTCTGATATTTTGAGTGGAACCAATAATAAGTTAAATACCTTTTAAAAGATGTCACAATATGACAATGATCAATTTTTTTTAATAGTGGTAAGTTTTCCAGCTCAGTTTAATAAACAAAAAGAAATCCATTGCATGGTTTTGTTTGAATTGTTTTGCTAGCTTGCTCATTTCATGGAAAACCAAAAGAAAAAATCTCAGAATACACTAATATAATGAATAACAATACGGTAATAATAAATTTACATTTTTTGTTACATTTTCTCATTGCAGACTTAACAACACAAAGTCCAACTATGAACATGACAAAGCGACCCAAGTCTGCTGGCATGATGAACACCAGTCGGGAGTTAGATGCTCTCAACGGCAGTGAGTACCACAATTGATTTATAGCGTCCACTGTTCCAGTAGAAAAACAAAAACAAGTTGTGTGGCTCTGTCACTCAATACAACAATATCTCAGCAACCATTTGCAAATAGGGTCCATTTATTAACTCTAAAAATTTGATTCACTCCAGCGAGTCAGACTTTCTTTGGTTTGTTGTTAGTAGTGTTAATATGAAAACTAACACACCAATAGTGGCTTCAGTAGTTACAGATCACTTTCCTATCCTATTTAATACATTTCTTATACTCGCTCAACTTCAAAAAATGTATGACCAATAGGTGATGAAGATCACATTGCATGTCCTACTTAACTTTACAAACCAATAACATGCTAAGGACGCTTGGAAAGGTTAGAGTGAAGAAATAGTAGTAATCATTATTGTCATAGTTACTCAATATTTTTCAGAAACACCAAGATCAGGTAGAGGGAGTGCTCCTACTTATAAGCCACAGGAAGAAATGTACGATGATATCATAGACTTGAAAAGAGTAAGTTCTTGGCAAATGCCGTTCTCTGTACTTTCACCTTTTCTGTTCCTGAATATGTTACGGTGTAAATTTTCATGGGGGTGTCATTTCATAAACGTCACTGGGACATTTTGCGATATATGTAACAATCAGTCCCAAAGAAGCCCAGCTTATTGCTATGGCAAAATAAAAGTGATATACAGTATCATAAAGCAAATGATCCCTGTTTACATGTCTCATGTAATGTGATCTCTTCCATATGTTCAGATCTCAGGTTTGCCATTCTGCATGCCTTATGACCCAGAGATCTCCCCCAACAGCGTTATAGAGCATGGGCCTCTGTTTCCATGATTCTGGATAAACAAAAGCACTCACCGTAATTATTATAACAATGCTTTCAGGACAGGTCACTAACCTAGTATATTATTATGCAGATTAGCTGTCAAGCTTCTTTATTTCTTTGGGAGAGGGGGAGGGGCACTGCTCTGACTCCAGTGTGACTGGACATCATACAACTGCTAGAGGCAACTAGTTTTAGCAATGACTTATCGTATTATAAATCACTAGATCTATGTTTAAAACAAAATAATAAATGCCTTCACTTTTTTTTAGCAAATCAATGGTTTGAAAGAGGAAAATGAAATCGTGAAAACAAGAAACAGAAGGTTGGAAAAAGAGAGCGTACAAAAACAGAAGCAAGTTGAACAACTCTTGGATCCCAGCAAGGTATTCACCTCATCAATTGTTTGAGAAAGAAAGCAAGAGAAGGAGTTGAACATCATTTTAAGAGTTGTGTACATGTAATTATGGGTTTTGTGTTAATTTATTTGTACTAATGGTAACATGTGTGCATTCACATGTAAAGATTTCCATTTTTTCTGCTTTGTAGTGCGATGACTTGAGAAGAGTTATGAATGAGAAAAAGCCAGATGCAGGCGCTGTAAGTTTACATGCATATCCTATTATCTTGTCTATTTAGTATTTAACATAATGTTCAAATCTGATTTTTCTATGTCTGTCAGATTTCATTTTGTGTCAACTGAATCATAATAGATCATATATCAATTTGTCAAGTTTGAATAATTATTTAAAGTGCCATGTTATACACCACATGTAAAATGCATGTTTGTTTTTTTAGTCTTATAATTCAGCCTCCGTGTGTCCGTCCGGAGTCATATCTCAGAATCCCTTGGACCGATTCTGTTCATTCTTTGCATGTGCCTAGTACTTTATGTGGGACATATGCACATGCAGTGGTTTAGCGATTCGATTCAAAATGGCCAACTGGCAGCCATCTTGTTTTTTGAAAATGTTGTATTTTGGACATGCTTTGTCAGTTTTCATTCAAACTTGGTACATAGAT